AAATAATCATTTCATACTATAGATCTACACATTCCTTAGTAAAGGTTTTGTAAAATGTTATAGAATTTCATTTGAACTAAACACTTACGCATTATTTCAAACAAGACATTTTGTTTATTTGGAATACCTGAGTGTTATATCCACTTTTTCTTATACTTGAGGGTCCCGGAAGTCTTTGGCAAAATTTGATGCACACTCTTTGTTCATGAAAATCCGCAATCGCAGGAGGGTCGGTGTAATGCACTACCAAAACGCCCGTAACTAAGAAACAAATGCTAATTCGATGATGCCGGCTGGCACACTGATTCACTATGAATGTAGGCCGCACCCCCTAGCGACAGAAGCTCGTACTACATCCGGTTCGCCCTCTATTGACACAGTCTTGAAACTTTCTGATCGCACCTCGTATACTATTGTTAGTACCACATACAGAATTTTATTACAATGCATCACTTTGTAGCAACAAGTTTCGACACATCCTATTAGTATACCAAATCTAGACAGAGTACCATTTTCTTACATAAAATTTTACTTCAAATTACACATTATTTTTATTATTATTTGATGTTTAGTTGTTCAATATCAGTGCAATGCGTTAATAATTGGGTGTTATCTTGAATCGGTACGTTCTATATTTTTATATGAGTGCAGTACGTTCATTGTGGGTTAGCTTAGAGGTCCAGTCTTTTTCATGGAATTATAGACTGTGGACTGTCGCTTGTGTTCGTACAGCTCATTAACCATAAACTTTAGGGGGTCAACATCTACTTCGACAGCTTAAACCAGCCTATACACAATTCCATGTAGCAATTTAGCAATGTAGCTTTCGTCGAGTCTCTCTATACTTCCTTGCCTGACGACGTTCTGAAAAGGAACAACTCGCCGCGACTTAAAAATATTGGAACGTAATAACACTTAACTTTTCAGTAATTCTACTAGCATTTACATTTATCCGCAACCCCCTAACCGAAGGAAAGATTTACTTGGGCGCTTTATAAACGAGTTCAATATTACTCTAACTTTATTTCTTCAAAAACCCCCAAAATGCAGCAAAAATAAAGTTGGCCACTTTTCGAGATGTTGTCCCCACCTTCACTTGGGCCGGCGTTGTTCCAGGGTTCTGCAAGTTCGTTTCTGAAACTGATACAGTTCGGTTCATGACACACATCATAACTGTACTTTTAACCTTGTCAGTCGATACTCATTGTCTTGTCTTTTAAGTGTTATTTCAACGACGCAATCAGATGGAAGTCTAAGGATGACAAATCGAGGTTGAAGAAGGACAACCCAAATTTATTTATCTTGTGTATTAACAGATTAGTCGTATGAAGATGAAAGTTATCGTGGGAAAGAATACTTCTGGATAGACGAATTTTTGTCAATGCCTTAGGACTCCTTCCAGAAGATCGCAGAGCATCGCGAATAACATTTTGTCAAATGATATTGTGTTCTCTTATAGAGAATATGTATGTACACGCATTATGCCGTAGTCAATAGCAGTTATAATGAGTATCAACGTTTTTTCCAGTATAACTGACATAAATAGTGAGCCTGGATAGCTCAGTCAGTATAGTGACTATCTACGGGCTGGACGACCGGGGTTCGATCCCCGACGGGGGCAGAGAAATTTTCCTCTAGCCTCTGCGTCCAGACCGGCTCTGCGGACCCAAACTTTACTTTTACTGACATGAATAACAATACTTTCAACATCCAAACATGAAATCCCATCGTCTTTCGTCTTACTGCATCCATTTGAAAATCCATTCTTCTCTGCATTCACTGACTGCCAGATTCTAATCGATTATGGTGTCGATATTACAAAGCGAGTGAGATTTGAGATTTTCACGGCGGTAAAGACAACAATTTTTTCTGGGATGTGACGCCAAGTAGACTCGCCTTAGCCCTTAAGATGAAAACTGTATGGTTATTCGAAACGTTTCCATCTACCTACGATAATCTCGTCACAACAAACAGGAAGTTTTAACTCCAATTGACGTCGGCCTACAGACATTTTTCCTTCGCTCCGCACTACGTAGTATAAACCGCGAGACTTGCATCATTAATTGCAAAAACTTGCCGTGCTTTGTGTACTTTGTTCTCTGCATATTCGCGACCCCCCCTTAATAATTTTCCCCATTTTAACACCGAAGGACGTGGCATGCAAGATTCCTCACACCGTGCTTCAAGTCTCTGATAAATTTCAAGTTATTTCGCATTCCTAACACATAAACGTAATAATAATGTGTTGTTTCACTGACTAAAAACATTAACTGACATAATGTTGTTACATACTAGCATGGAATGTTGTAAAAACAACTTCTTATTCATACAACCTACATTATAATCCGTACATCGTATTAACGAACTGTGTTAAACACAGGTAATCATTTTTAATGAAGTATTGTTCAAATCTGAATACTTTTTCCATGTGTTGAGCGGGGGTAACATGAAAGAACGTAGATATGAATGAGAAACATTTTATAACAGCACCAAATGGATTAGATCGTGACATACCTCGGGGTTGAAAGGTACTCGACGACGACAGCTCCACTCATAAAGGTGTTTTAGCCAGGCAACTGTTGATAATTTAGTGGTCACATATACGGGACGGAAAAACAACCGATAAGCAGACGAGGAAAATACATCGTGAGGCAATGAACAAACAAGGATAAGGTAGTAACTTATGGTAAATTGATGAGGACAGAATGCCACAGCAGGTAATACATGGGGCAAGGATACACCTGGATGTAAATAAATGAGACCAAAATATCCTTGCAGCTACATAGATGTCGTCAATATCTCTAACACGGAAAACGTCTTAATATTGCTGTCAGTTATTTGGCGGAATTATTATATACGAGGTGCGATCGGAAAGTTTCTAGACTGCGCCTATAAAAACCCGTACACTTATCTCAGGTATTAAATTCATCCATCCCCCTCGAAGTAGTTCCCCTGGGAGTGAACACAACGATCCCAGCGCCGCTGCCAAGCCTGGAAGCATCCCTGGAAATCTTTCTTTGTCAGCCTGTCAAGCACCATCTGCGATTCTGCCTGAATCTCTTCTGTCGTCTCAAATCTCCTTCCCTTTAGCTAAATTTTCATCTTTGGGAAGAGGAAGAAGTCGCATGGAGCTAAATTCGGCGAATAAGGAGGGTGCGGGATGACGGCCATGGGGTTTGAGGCCAAAAACTGCCGAACTTTGAGGGCGGTGTGCGCTGGCGCGTTGTCATGATGCGTCGCATGTGGAGTGCTTCCTTTAGAATCAGCTGACAGGTCCCATAGCCTATCCCAACAATGTCGCACAAGTCGTTGATGGTACGACGTCGATCTTCGTGAATGGCCTGCCGAATCTTCGTAACATTTTCGGGCGTTGTGCGCGAAGATGGTCGTCCAGAACGCTCGTCATCATCGACAGAGGTTCGGCCATTTTTAAAACGTGAATGCCACACAAAAGTTTGTGCACGACCCATTGCGGACTCCCCAAATGCTTGCTTTAGCATTTCATAGGTTTCCGTAGCCGTTTTGGCGAGTCTTTGGCAAAATTTGATTTGTTCATGAAAATCCGCCATTCCGAAATCGCAGGAGGGTCGGTGTAATGCACTACCAAAACGCCCGTAACTAAGAAACAAATGTTAATTCGATGATGCCGGCTGGCACACTGATTCACTATGAATGTAGGCCGCACCCCCTAGCGGCAGAAGCTCGTACTACATCCGGTTCGCCCTCTATTGACACAGTCTTGAAACTTTCCGATCGCACCTCGTATTTCAAACTAGTTCTCATACGTGGATTACGTTTAGAATACACCTCAGAGATGGACTTTAGCGTTGTAGCCATATAAAACAGCAGAGGAGGTAAGACTCAACGTTGTTTTAAATCGCCCTGAGTAAAGGAAATAAACGAGTTTGTAACAAATTAAGTATTTCACGGGCCTGCTTACAAGTTATCTCAAAAGAATATGGTCCGCGGGCCGCTAGTTAAATCACGTTGAGAAAAGTTCATCTCGAAGCAGTTACATAATTGACTCGACTACAACATTCACTAAATTATATAACCTATTAGTTACAGCAGACCCCTCGCCAGGCGACTTCCAAGGATCCAGTCGTATCAGAACCCTGATGATGGGGACAGAGTTGGTTCCCGAAACGTCGGTTTACTACGGTAACCAGTTATCGCGGCTGATTGCCCGAGAAGATTTTACTGATTGTACAAAAATTATCAGTTTTGTTTCGGTAAGAGTGTTGAGAAACGTTGGTATACTCAGTCATGAAATCTGGTTCAGGAGACTTCAGAGTAAGATTAGATTGTGACACCACAGAGCAGAATATCTCTGCAGACGAAAGCAATGGACAATCTGTAAATGAAAAAGTAATGACAAAATGATGAGACATGCGAAAAGTACGTATGGGAGGAGTCGATGATGAGTGTAATGGGTGTACTTAAGTAAGTGGGCGTTGACTTTAACATTGAAGAAAAAGAAGATTACAGCTTAGAAATGCATCACTGTACCTCCAGAACACCCCGTCTTAATACAATCGTAAAAAGCATAAATGACTACAAGTAACAGATTTAAAGTCGAGTTTTTTTTTAGAAACGTTACTATACCGTCCTAAACAAGACGTTAAATTCTCTATTACTTTCAGAATGGTTAGCAAATTCTCTTTTCGAACTGAACTTTTGCTAGTACAGGTACTTCGCTTTATATCTTTTCATTCCTCGCTAGTATTTCGGTGGAAAGAATTTGAAATAACGTCATCCCATCCTCCTGAAGAGCCCTGATTTGAACAATTTGTTAACAACTCGTATTTGGACGCAGGCATGAAAATAGCTGAAAGAAAATGCCCTAGGCTTGGAGTTAATTCATCTCGGTAGAAGTTTGGTTGACTGTACAGGACCTACTTTAGCCTGACTGAAACGATCGAGCGAGGGAAGCTGTTGTTGAGCTGGTCGGCCGGAGAGCTACTCAGTTGGTGTACAGCGGTCGGACCGTTGAGGTGTGGGTCCAGTGATGATTTCATATCGAGTCATTCACCTGATTAAAATGTTGCCAAAACTAGCAACGCTCAAATTATCGAACCTTCATCTTTTACGTAATAATAGCATTTAAAAGTTATTTATTTTCATATTGTAATTTCACTTCAGTGACTTTTTGGTGAAATAATTACGAAATGACAAATGACTTCATACGTCTTGTACTTTAAAAAAAATCTTTTAGTATCATGTTATAAAATAGACAAAATATTCTTTCGTTAATCGAACCGAATAGTATTTTTGCTGACATCGTTTATTAATATCAATGGATAAAAATTTACACTTGCTTTGGATGCAACGTAATTTTGTTTGAACAGTTGAGCGATTTGTTTGAAGACGTAAATTTGAACCAGAAAACGTATTCTCTTTTTAAACTGAAAAGAACACATGTATTAATTCATTTTCACGTGCAGTGCCATGTGTACAGAATAGAAGTGTTGTGTGGTGTTTGTGACTTTACAGAATGGAACAAGAACAGATCCCAACTAGTGTATGTGATTGGCCGTTTTATTAGGTAAGGGGACATACGTTAACCTACGTTGCCATGTTACTGCTGTTTAATATGTAGTTAGGTTAATTAACAACTGTTTGTCCATTACTAATATCTATTTTCACTTCTTTTCCGTGATGGAAATGGATCATTATCTTTAGAGGAACGCATTAAATACTAAACTTGGTATAATGTAACTCTAACGGCTTGGCTTTTCAGCATTATTGATATAACTTAATGGACATGCTTTATATTAAACAAAACTGAGCTCTGAAAGTTATTAATATAAATTAATTTAAAAAAGGAAATTTTATACAAGATTTAATTTCGGAAGATGTTTTTTAAAAAAATAATTTAGAAATTTAAGATATTTAAACTAGTTTCGGCCTTAAGATTAATCTTTTAACCAATTAAATTGAGAAAAAAGTAGATGTTCTGTGTTTTGAAGCTGTGTAGACTCGTCGGTAAATGTGACAATGACAGTTCAGTCTTGAAGGTGGAGGCAGTATGTTTCTCCGAAACGTTGGCCTCTACCGACGAGTCTAAATGGCGCCAAAGTACAGAGAATCATCATCATCCATACGACAGTGAAAACCTCAAACCCACAAAAACGCTCTTGTAAGTTGCCCTAAACAAAGGCCATAAGATTTACCCCTCATTAACTACGACCATGTGCATACAACTTATTAAAACAACCTTTGTTGATAACATATTTGAGTAAAAGACATTTACAATCAGTTCAGACAGTCTAGATCAGTGATATTCAACCTGGGGTACGCGTACACCCGGGGGTACGCAAAGACATCGTAGGGGGTACGTGAAATTTAAAAAAAAATATTATTTTATGATAAACACTGAATAATCAGTAATTTAATTTATTTTAGATGTAGATTATATACTATGTATAACTTGAATTATACACCAACAACTTTGGGGGTACAAAATTGAAGAGAAATTATATCTGGGGATACGCGGACAAAAAAGGTTGAATACCACTGAGATAGATCACACAAAGACACACACACACAAATACAAAATATACAGGTCTATAATTTACTTCTGCCAAGACGCAACCATGTTCAGTGACTGATTCTCACTTATCCTCAACGAATGACGATAAATTTTCCAGATTTGTAAAGTAATTTGGAATTTACTGAACAAAACGCAGCAGAAACTCAACAAGGGATGGTAAACGATGTTGTTGGTTTCGCGAGGTGTTAAACACCACTCAGACCAAAGACACTAGCATGTTACGAAATGTCACAAAAGGTACAGAATAATTTTCTTTGGCTCCGTTTAATCCTTTAAAACATTGTAGTACCCTACGTGCTACATTCTCTAACAACCAGTAAATCTGTATTTTCCCCATACAGTTAATTTATGTTTCGCACGATTGCATAATTAAGCAACATTAAACAACTGATCTTTGTATTTTTCAACGTAGGGGCTAGAATCCCAAAGAACCGCTATTGTTTAGCTGAGCTGCGGCCTCAAACGATTACAGCAACGAAAGGGGATGCGATTTGGAACTCGGAACCTTAGAAAATTCTATACGGCAGACTAACTGAAATAAGTAGATAAAAGATTAAAAAAATATAACAGGTTACAGACGTAATGGGAGCACAGAGGGCCGAGAGGAACAAGCGAACAAACAGATGAATGCACATTCTTTTATGGACTGTACTCGTCACTAAATATTCCTATTACACCCCCATCAAGGAGTTGATGATGAGTAG